ACAAGGCGAGAGGTTTCCTTTGCAGCTTGTGTGGCATTTACGAGGTACGCAGGGGCCTGTCCCGTGTGACATTTTCCAGTGACATTTGCCTTGACAGGAGTAAATACCCGGTCAGCTCACAAGACAGCGGCCTGCTCGCTCCCCCACATGTGTTTTCTTCCTTGTGTGGTTGCAGAATCCGAAAGCTATCCCTGCTGCCCAGCAATGGACAGCCTTAAGAGGCCAAGGGAATGCCCAGCCTATTGAAACAAATGAAATAACCGTGGACATTAGCTAAATAAAGAGGCAAGGAAACATCTGTTACTTCTAAAGGGGAAGTGGTCATCGTGATGGGTTACAGCTCAGTCTTTGCAAATGTTGAAAGTAAGAGTTTTCATCATTTTTGGAGGGGGTGATGGGTGGGTGGTCCCATCTGCTGTTGCTTTTTTCATTGATAAATGTTGCTGTGCCTACTGGGTTTTCATAACGGTAACCTGGCTGTGTTTCTCACCCGCTGACTAAGCCTGGGAGGTGCAGACTGGTTTCTTTCAGCCTACCAGCTTGAGGATGCTACTCTGTCCACCTAGTCTCATGGGCCAAAATTCATATACGGTCTCTCATTAACTCCCTTTCTGGTTACCGGAGACCTCATGTCCCTAGTCCATCGCTGATAACCATACAGCTGCTATCCTACAGTTAAGAGTTCCCAGAGAAGAAATTACAGCATAAAAGCCCCACAGGTGGAGCCACACGTGAAGGCTTTAAATGGGACATGGTCTTCTCGCAGGCCTCGCAGCGAGGGACACTGGCAAAGCACTAACCACTGGCAAAATACACTGATATTGGCCCTGCAAGGGAAAGTTCATTGGCCCCGTAAGGGAAAGCTCAGACCACCGTTTGCATCGCTGAGGTTATGCTGGAGCAGAGCTGCCCTTCCAAGCACTTGCTAAGGGTCGTGTTCCTGTCGCACTGCATTGGCAATGCTAGAGCAGAAGGTCGTTGCTGACGGGCTCCAGGGCTTGGTATCCTCAAGGGAGCTGGTTCTAGAAAGTGTTTCTCACAGCTGGTGTGACGGTCATTGCTGCTGTCTGAGTAGGTGGCAAGTCTCAGAGGGCTTGTGTGAATTCACCACCTGAAGCCTGGCTCGGTGCCTGGTGTTGGGTCCCACAGCCGGCGAGGAAGCGGGAGAGACGGGCAGAGGGTGACGATGCTCCCCCAGCAGCTCTCCTCACCTTCATGGGGCGCTGGCCGGCTCCGCACCATCCTGCAGGGTGTCTCTGCAAATTTCCAGTTGTTCTGAAATTAGTAAAACTCATGGCCAACGGTGTTTTCGTAGTTCCTTGTCTTACCACTAGTTAGTCTACACTCATATTTTTTCTTTGCTATGTTTTTAAGGCAAAAACAAATCGACCAAAATAGCTATTTGCAGGGCAGTTTGCCGTGGCAGGTGTTCCTGGGGTTCCAAAGCATCTGTTGGCAGGGCGAGAGCTGGGCTCCCGCTGCCAGCCCAGCCTGTCCCAGCTCCTCTCCCGTCAGGCTCAGGTGTTTCTATCTGTGAGCCTGGTGAGGGAGCGGGTTGTCCGGCCACCTCCCTCATCTCTGCACAATTTGCACCTTACACTTAAAGGTGAAAAAAAAAAAAAAGAAAAAAGAGAAGTATGAACTAAATTGATAAGAATATCCCAGAATAGAGAACGATCCCCGTATAAAGTGCCATGGTGAGGCCATGGCACTGTTTCTTGTTTGCTCAAAAATACTTGGTGTTTGGCAGGCAGCTTTTGGGTTGTTTTTCTAATTTTGTTTAACGCACTGCTTGAAGGTTGAAATGCAGAAAGTCCCCACCCAGCAGAGAACGTCTTACAAGACTGAAAAGAGGAAGATCTGTTTTGCAACCCGGGTGGTTTCCCCTCTTGCATGTGTGATGGTGATCAGGCAGTGCAGCATTTTTACTGGGGGCAAACACTTTTCTAGCTGTGGAGTCAAATAGGAAAACCTGAGTTTTCTTTGCACAGGGAAGGGTGTAGCAGGGAAGGAGTGAAGGACTAGATGAGCCTCAGTGAGCATCCTGGGCTCTCTCAAGTATATTATCTCTATCTGATCATACAGAGTGAGGGGCTCACTCCAGAACTCTTCCAGTTTCCTAGATCCAGGCAGGACCAATGGAAGCTGGAGTTGTCCAGCACCCCTCAGCATCAAAGTCTTTAACTGTGGGAGTAACTACGGTGGACAGGAACTCAAGGGTATCCATGAATAAGAACTTCCTAATTCAGATGGCTAGATAGGGAAGATAGAATATTACATAAGAAGGGAAGGGGAAAATATGCTGAGCTGAAGCCACTAGTAAGGGCCAGCTACTTTTTTTTCACTTTGCATTGAGCTTTCAGTTGCACCCATTTGTGGAAACATTCATTTTACTAAACCAGCGCCAACTGGCTTTTCTGACAGTCAGCAGAGCATTTCCATGTAAATGGAGAATTTGTGGAACTGGTGGAAGGACAGACCTGAAGACTTCCATTCACTTCCTAAACATGGTGAGTTCTACAGCGCCTGTCACACACAGGCTGGCCTCATATTTGTTGGGTATTGCCAGTGCTACCAGGAGTCCTTTGGAGTCATCTCTATATTGCTGAAGCAGAGCTAGGGCGGAAAGCTGTGGTAAAAGTCTGGCCGTAATGGGAGAACCACTTGCAGCCTTCAGATGCCTCTGCAAGTGGGGACGACGGTGGGGAGCTCGCCAAGACCCCAGTTCACGTGCACAATGTCAGAGGTTTGTGAAGGGATGAGTCTGGGGCAGCATCAGTCCCATCAATGGGGCCAGTGAGACATGGGGCTGCCTCAGGTTCTGCCTCAGGCCGTTCTCCTCCATCACCCTGTGCCCTGCCCCGCTCGCCCAGCCACCCGCAGGAGCAGCCTCGAGGTGCCTTTCCAAAGGCCTTTCCAAAGACCTCTCCAGCTCTGCTGCACCCAGCTCGCGGTGCCGCGCAGCCTTGCTGGCTGCCTGAGCTCGCCCTAACCCCTCACCACCAGGCATGCACGGTTTCCCCAGGGAAGGCGAGGGGCCGCTCTGCTTCCAGGGCAGGCCCTGCGGAAGAATTTGGGAGTCAGCGACTTGAAAGCAAAAGAATCTTTGCTTATTGCGAAAGCCGCTGCCCACCGCCAGCCCCATGACAAAACCAAGCCAAACAAACACACAGGAGGAGGAACTTCCCTTCCCTGAGGGCCCGGCCTGTAGCAAAGGTCTGGCTCCACACAGTGCGAGCGTTGAGAAGGGCTTAACCCTGCTGAAGGACAGCTGCATTGGCTTAAAGCAATACCACTGATGCCCTCCATGCTCTGCTAAAAATGGGGAGTATGGAACCTAGTTCTTATTGTTCCTTTTGTCAGTTTTCTAGTGATATCCATTTCACTCATGTACCTTGGATTAAAAAAAACCCATATTCAGACCATGACTGATAAGGTCTCAGGAAACCGAGAAATTCCCATCCGTTTATTCTTTCATAAGAAGTAAGAAGACAGTGGTTCAGTAATCAGCCTGGGATGCCTTCCTCTGAGTTGAAGGTGACAAACAACCCATTGCACAAGTATATGGTACAACAGGAAGCATCACTAAAACTGGCTCCGTCAGGAAAGAGCCCTGGAGTTTTAAGGAAAACATGACAATGTGCAGAAAATTAACAGGTTAATAATAATAATAAAAAATCTTTGACTAGTAAACATGTTGTCCCCGTCGGACCCTTGCACTTCCTCTTTGCCTGCTTGCTAACAGTGTTAAAGTCTGCTTGTATTTCCATTAAAATCAAAGCCCTCTGCACAGAAACAGACTCTTATTATGTTTCAGTAACAAAATTTTTATTGGAACGAAGAAGTGTATTCAGTTTTGCTTATGCTCTATTCTCATCTAATAGGTATTTTTCAAAAAGAATGGTATAGATTAAACTATGCCTCTTTTGAAAGAAAAAATTTGAAAATTTCTCCATCAGATGTTGGTCTTCACGAACATTTACCAACTGTGACTTCCTCCCCGTTAGATGCTGACACAATCAAAAGGACCAGCTAACAGTTCACAGGAGCTGGCAGCAACAAATACTGTCTTTCTGAAGAAGTACAGGGTACTTGCATGTTCTGTATCAACAGAAAACATGTCCTGTCTGGTGAGCTGGGGTGTAAAATGCTGGTAACCAGATGGTTGCACGAGTGTGTCTGGAACTGCATGAGCCAAGACTTTCTTCTGTGGTAGAGTCTATCAGCAAGATCCAGTGCTGTGCAGGAGCTGTGCATAGGTTTGTATGCAGAGTTTGGAAGGTGGTAGGGAGGCAACTGGGGCAACTGGGCTGGAGACAAATGGAGACAACAAGACACTGGGGAAACTCACAGAATATGCTTAATAAATGTGTCTGCTTCAAGGCCTTTTGCAACCATTTTTTTTTCCCCTTTACTACTGTTTTTGATGGTTTAATGGTTTCTTTTTCCCTGTTGCTGTTTTTGTTTGTTTGTTTGTTTTTTATGAACCTATTATGCATAATGTACACAAGTGCTGCGCTGTGTTTAGGTGCCTTGTGCAAACCAGCAACTTAACTCACAGCTGTTCCAGTTACTGCCCAACCATCTTTGCTTCCTCAAACCTGTCCCACAGCTGTCAGTGAGGAACAGCTGTATAGGGCCAAAAGCCCTGTGTTCATGTAGGAATCCTTCCGAGGAGACCTGTGTAGCAATGAGCTTTTTCAGCCTTGAAACTCAGAAGTGGAGGCCCTAGAAGCAATTTTCTTGTTTCTCTTGTTTAGGTCCCTGCACTGCGAGTGTGAAGATGCGAGAGAGGAAGAGGAGTGTTGGAAGCAGCCGTGCTCTGGCTCGCTTAGCGAGCGCAAGGTTGTGTTTGACTCCAGCCTTGTGGTGCCCCCCACCCTCCTGGCCCCAAGCTGGGGGGCTCAGGCATCCGGGTGCTTCTTTTTCAGCTCTGGGCTTCCCTAGAGCTGCTTCTCAGCTGGCCCCTCTATCTCCTGCACAGGATACTCAGGCCTATGTGCAGAAGCCTGAAAAACGCTGGTGCAAAATTGCTTTTCTGACACGAGTAGTGATCTTTCCCATTCACCCTTGGCTAAATTCCTCTTTCTTTCCAAGAACTCCCTATAGCATTTTGCTAGAATGCTTTATTGTTTAATATCAGTAAGCTTTATCAGCGTGAACTGACTCTCAGATGCGTATGCTGGCCTGGACACCGCTGCAGGCACCAGGAGAAAAGAAGAGAGTAAGGACAGCTAATTGAGGGGAAATGCCCTCATACACACAAAGAAGAAATTTCTGCTAAATTGCCAGTATATGGGAGGCCATGCAAGCAATCCTAAGGCAAAACTTGACTCTCTGTCAATCCGCTGCAGAGCCAATTTCAAAGAAGGAAAGGGATTTGCGTTAGTGTAGCTGAGATTGGAAGCTGGGCTGTCTTTCCCAGACTTCAAATGGAAAAAAAATAATCTAGTCTTTGAATTTTTAGATGACTGTTGGATGACTCCCATGTGTTTAGGAACTAGAAATTCTCCTTGTTAAAAATGAAGTGTACTCCTCGGGGGTCAGCTTCTGAGTTGCTGATGCTCTGCTTGTTGAGTGTGTCAGCTAGGCCCTCAGGTCCACAGAGGAAAACACCTATTCTGGAGCTGTTAAGAAAATGAAAATATGGTCAAGGACTAAGCACGGAGCAGCTCGGTGTTGTTCATGTAAATCAGTCTTCAAGTTTTGCTTCTCAGTTACAGAAACTGAAGTAGAACTATGTGTCCCCTCTTAAACCTATAAGCCTTCAAAATTTGCAATATGTTTCCTGCTCCTCCTAAAATAAGCGATGGGCTAAGTCTCAGTTTAGCAGAAATCAGTGAAGACAGTTTTACTGACCTCAATGGAAACAATGAAATAGAGACTTAAAGAATTTATGGTGCAAATTCTTGGAAGGAACAGCTCCATTTTCTTCCTGCTAATTTTGGATGCACAGCCAAATAGCAGATATTGTTTTTAGGGGTCACTGACATTCCTATCTACTTCAGCAGGAGAATTACATTTTTTTTTTCTAAAATACTTCTGACAATCAAGCACTACATGAAATTTTTCACCAAAAGTATTTTTTTTGAAACTGCAAATTAAAACAAATGATTCAACACTACAGTTCATGTCTGTGGCTGAACTGATCTTACAAAATAACTAGAAATTGGCAGATTGTTAGAAAAAATAGTGTTTCTCAGATGTTACCAATCTAAGGAACATGATGGTGCTACTATGGATTTAGGCACAGGAAGGCCATAGGCACTAACAAGAATACAGGTTTACCCTGGATGTTTCCCCGCAATGGTTTTGAACTCGTTTTCCCAATTAGGTCTCCCATAGAGTGTTTTCTGTTTAAGGCCTGTAATTACATCTTTCTCTTCTTCATGATGCACTGCAAAATGAGTGGCCTGTGGGAAAGGAAACAAAAAGGGTCTTGTAAACACAGATTTAGATATGACAGAATTATCTTTGGTTAGAAAAAAAATCATGTCACTTGTCAGCATTACATTGTCAGCAAACTAAAAACATTCCTGGGGAATTTATTATGGATGGAAAGGAAAACTGACATAGGAAATCTGGCAAGCAAGCTCTGTCTTTCTCATTCTCCCAAACTGGCCAATCTCGAGAATTAAAGCTATGAAGTATTAAACATAGCAATTACATTTCTTTTACAACAAATTGTTTTAGTTCAAGAGATGTAAAATAAAGCCGTAAACTAGGACAATACTTCCCTGCCAGCTACAATAATACAATCCTTGACCTTAATGACATCCTGCCAGTTTTATTTGTAGAAGGACCGATCCATATGAATAGGAGGGGGAAACTCTAGAGCACTCCCAGAGTTTCACCACTCCTAGCGACTGCCATGAACCACTGTAGCACTTCCACAGTAACTTAGGCTGAGCTTTGGTGGCAAACCCAAAGCTTTGTATGGCAGTGTGAGCTAGATCTTTTAAAAGAAGTAGTCTGCAGTGCCAGGGGGCAGAGCACAGAGCAAAAATTATGCAGTAAACTGTAGGCATTCCTGCATTGCCACCCCATTCAGGGGATTGTTGTTTTGACTGCCTTCTTTTAGCAACCAGCACAACCTTAACAGTATGGAAATTACCAACATTTACAAAAGACTTTTTGTCTGCCAATTACAACCTACAGTTAAAAACTCTGAGAGCCAGGTGAATCCCAGGAAAACAGCCATCGGAATATTTATCAAAACATAGCAAGCTTGCTCACATGAAGCCTTTTCCATATGTTGTTACCTGAGTTTCATCCCAGCCTGTCAGGTAGATGTTGTAGCTGAGAAATTCTGCATTATTTCTCTCCTGCATTTGAGTCTCCAGAGACTGCAAGAGGTCGGCAAACCATTCAAAGGCATGAGTGTCCCTGCAAAGCCAGTAAAAGTAGATCTGGAAGAGACAAGAGAGAGGCTTAGGGTACATTGGTACTTATGGATTCTGTTTTTGTGTTGGTAACAAAGTGAGGATTATAGAGTTTCTGTAAAAAAAATTGCCGTGACCACCTCAGTTGACAAAAAGACAAGCTTGCACTGAAGCTATTCTAAAGTTTAGATGCTGGGAAAGTTGTAAAGCAAAATATGTGATTGCAAAAAAACAGGGAAACAACTTTCATTCCTCTTCCATCAGTGAGTTTAACAGTTTGTAATGTTTGTGCACTTACATCCTTGTAAAACAGTTTACTATGACATAAAATAATGAGTTTCAGGAAGATTCTACCTCCCTGTCTGCTGGCAAGAATGGTAAATTAAAAGAGGTGATAAAGCCAGTTCTCTTCTTGTAACAGCACTGTGAGTATGACTGTAACTGGAGAGAATAACCTGAGCACAGGGAGTTTCTAGGCACAGGAGGCAAGAGGGGCAGTGGCTCCCATTTTGGGGTTACATTGGCTCAAAGTTGCTCTGTACGTGTGTAGTAGGGAAGGAGTGCAGGATTTGTCTGGACACAATCAGTATCTGGAAAGTATGACAGTAGTTCGTGCTTCCTGCACAGCTTGAACTGAGTTTCCACTGCCCATGGAAATCCCCAGAGGCAGAGTCAGTACCCGGCCACTGGGCTATACATCCTCTCCTCTCCTCTCCTCTCCTCTCCTCTCCTCTCCTCTCCTCTCCTCTCCTCTCCTC